TTGAAAGCTTTCCAGACTTAGGATGTTCAGTTTCTTCTCTTCTTCTTTGGTCTGTCATGCATCTTTTTAATTGGTGGGGGTTTAATTGGTGGATTGGTAGATATTGGCCATATTTGCATGTTTGGCACATGCTGGATAAATATTGAATATGCCTTTAGATAAGTGTATTTGTGGTACCAGTGAGATATGTAGTTAGTTGGCTCAATGTTCTTGAAGTGCATAACAGCAATTGCATGAGCATAAGGGATACCCTTCAACATCCATGACCTGCAAGTACAAGTCTGATTTTGCATATTCACACAGTGCTTCAACACCACTCTTAATGAGGTATCCTCAACCTCATAGCCATATTCACCGTTCCATTTGATTGTACACCTCATAGACTGGGCTATGTTATCCTGGTACATTTTCATAGCAAATGGAGATATATAACATATCCATGTATCTGCAAACTCCCTCAACTTTCCTATCATCATCTTCACTCTGATTTCCTCCAACATTGTGATGACTGTCTTGTGTCGAGCAGCAAGTATCCAAGCATTAAAGGTCTTACACATATTGTTGCCAATTGTATCACATTTCCTATCATAGTTAAAGTATGCTCTGCATCAGGTTTCCTTGTTATACCTCAAGAGGCTCTCGCATATCCCATTCCCAAGCATATTCAAGCTGTTTAGGTGGAAATTTAATTCTGCCACACATAATGCTCTAGCACACCTCTAGAAGTTGTTTCTCCTCTCTAATCCTCTCCATTATTTGGACCAAGTTTGCTAATATATGTCTGGCACACCACCTATGTTCACTTTCAGGCAACACTTCTGATACAACTTTAAGCAATCCCTGTAACATAAGAAGAATATATTAGTTGCCAATAGAAACAGAAATAAGAAAAATTAAATATTGACAGCAATGAAATCACCTTTTGTATATCAGACATGATAGTGAGATCCCTTCCATCTCGAAGCTCTAAGTCATGAGTCACACATTTCAGAAAGCATGTCCAAGTGAAACTATTCTCAACCTGTACAATAGCCCAAGCAATAGGGAACATCTGATTCCTGCTATCCTTTGATACTACTACAAGCAGTTGACCCTTGCAAATGCCTTTCAAAAATCATCCATCAAGGCCAATTATCCTTTTGCAACCTTCATGCCATCCTTTTTTCATAGCATAGAAGGACACATAAAATGAATTTAAGACAATCTTGCCTTCACCTTGATCATCTACCTTCACAACACAAGTTGTACCTGAATTTGTATGTAACAGAATATCTCTATAATCATAAAGTCTCTTGAACTGAGCATGAACATCACCTATTATCTCCTTCAGAATTTTTGCTCTAGCTTTATGGACAGTAGGCCTACCAACATACATGTCCAGTTCATCCTTAATGAGTTTCTTCAGCTCCCAAACTATCATATTTGGTTGAGACAAAATCTTATCCCTGTAATGCTTTGCAAGGTATCTGGAGTTGCAAAGCTTGTTTTTATTTGTTCTGTAACACTTGTGGACAGGACAATACTTTTTTACCTTAAAATTGTTCGATCTGCCATCTTTGCTTGCAGCCAACAACCATGGACATTTTGGGTGCATGCATTTTACCCTCACCCTGCCAGGTTCATTAATATACTTGTCAATTTGAACTCCTTTATGAATTGCATACTTACTAACAACCAACCTAAAATCATCAACACTCTAAAAAATCAGCCCTAACTCGCAGGTTATTTTTTTGACAGTTGGATCAAATATCAGGGCTTTTTTCCTCCTCTTAGCAGCCATTCTCTCCTTATGTTCTTCATCAAATTCATCTTCAACATCTGAAGGAAAGTTTTCAGCATCAGAAGACCCAAAATAAGGCTCATATGTCCCTACTAAGCCTGTGTACCTATTTTGCTTGCTGCCAGTTCTTAATTCATCAAAACCAATATCAACTCCTAAATCACCTCTGTTAATATCACCCCTATCTTTTGGTCTTTTACTCCTTTTCCTCCTATATTTCCTCAGTTCATCCCTACACTCTGCAAAATTTTCATGAATATCATATCCATAATCATTATCATCAGGACATATGTAAGTCTACTCCATCACTCTCATCACTATCAGGATTATCAAAGTTTTATTCATTCTCATTGTCATTCTCACCCTCATCATCATCTGAGTCACTATCTACTTCACTCTCTTGTTCTCTTAAAGGTACAGGTGCAGGGGCAGGTGCAGGTTCAGGTTCAGGTTCACTATCTTCTACTTCTTCTTCTTCTTCTTCTTCTTCTTCTTCTTCTTCTTCTTCTTCTTCTTCTTCTTCTTCTTCTAAGACAATTGTGCTCTTAAAAGCTCCACTATTACTCCAACCAACCCCTTTACTAGTCTCATTTATGTCAACAACATTTAAGGGGACAACATGAGTCACATAAATATCTAAACTATCCTCATCTTCCAATTCATTACAAATGTCTAATATATCCTTGTCTATGAGAATATTTACCAATTTATCTGTCCTATCCATTGGACAACTATACAGCTCAACCATATTTTTAAATTTATATAACTTAGTGTAGTTCATTAGTTCAAAAAAAGACAGTAAATCCACATCTACATCTAAAGTCAATGTTTGACTACCCCTCTCATAACGAGCAAAGTTACCAAGAACTAAGACCCCATCATGGTACCACTTGAGTGTAATTAATTTAAAAGATATTTTTCTGCAAACAAATAAGGGGACAAACAAATCAACTGCCACATGCAATAACTGAAAATAAAGAAATATAGATGAAATACAAAAGCGGAGACAAAGACAAGAGCATATCACATTGTTCAAAGCAATGCTATTACAATAATCACTTAAACCCTAACTTTACACACGGTTTGCAAATACAAAGTAAATATTTTTATAAAAAACTATCTGTAAAGGCAACAACACGACAACTTCACAGTAATATCGACAATGACAAAAGATTCCCCTTTTAAAAAGTTCGAAAACCCTAAAGCAAATAGAAGAAATTTAAAAAAACCCTTAGGTTCAACCCACCCACTACTAAAATAAATGGGTAATACAAGGAGAAGAAAATTACTAACCTAAAATCGCATAAATCCACCTTCCATACACGATGAAAGCCTTGCTTGAGATAGTCGCTGGAATCGACTTCACCAGAGCTCCTTCAAGATGTATGGAGAAATGAGAGTTAACTTGGGGTAAATTAGTTTTAACCCTTTTTAACAGATGGGTCGGGTAGGGTAGGGTCGGGTTGGTTAATAAATATAAGGGGTTAAAAATAAGTGGGTTAAGTTTATAAACTAAAGTCAAATGCGTGAAATACACGGATGAACTTTTTACAGGATATGGTCAAAAGAGATGTGTACTAGATACACTTTAAAAAAGTTACGTGTGTAATGTTATTATCGTCCATGAAAAATGTGTAAGAAGGATATGGGCCAAAGGTTAGGTGCCAAACTTATATAATTATGTAGCGCGGAGTCAAAATGCAAAAACCAAAAATTCATAGAGTGGTAACACAGAGGCAGAATAGCCTAAATGGCACCTATATTTGTCCCACTTTGTCATACCGGTCCCTATACTCCACAAAATTTCATCCAGACACCTCTACTCGTTCAAAACAATTCTTTTAAACCCTTTCGACCTCGCGTGCTCTTCAACGATCCAATGTGAATGACACATCCATGTCCACCTCAAATTTTTTATGCCACATAATTATTTTTTCAATTCATTTCAGAATTTTCTACTTTATTTTTTATTTTATTTTCACTTCACTTCACTCCTCCCCTCTACTCTCTATCTCCTGTTATTCCCACCTGTATGCCGCCACCCTCGCCACCCCAAACAGTCCCCCCTCCATTAATTCACCTTTGCAACCCCAAAAATTCTCTAGCTCTACTCCAAATACACCCAGCAATCATTCTTCAAAATGCTCATTATCAAATGAAAACAAAAAAAAAAGAAAAAAAAAGAGAAGAAAATTAAATAGATAATAGAATTAACACTTCCTAAATCCTTACAAATCACAGCCACCCTACCCGAAATAAAACGCTGGAATCATGCTATTTCTATCTCATTAGAAACAAAGAATAAAAAAAGGGGTATGTGAATATCCGCTATAATTTTTCGAGAGATTAAAAATGGAAGAGGAACAATTGAAACTGCAGTCACTATAAAATCCAATAATTTTCACAAATCAAGCAAGATTTGGGTGCTCACACGCCATTATAGATCAGATTCGGGCACCCCTTTTAGTATTTCTCGTCCGATTTGATTGAACTACTAAGGTTGTTTTGTATTCTATTATGGAGGGGTGATACATAAGAAAAAATTATGATGGTCATCGGTGGTCTCCGCGCCGGTGATGGTTCGAACTTTTCCGGTGTGTTCCTCGCCATTGATGGTTCGAAGGTTTCATCTATAACCAGTGATGAATTTTTGATATGCTCCAGTGATATTCCTAGTCTGCTTGATTTTTTTTGGACGAAGTTCCTGTTGATAACTTATCTTTATTCTAACAATTTTGCCTAAGAAAATAATGATGATTTTCTATCTTTGATTCTGATGAAGAAGAAGTTATGACAATGGCAGCAAGAGGAAGAGAACATGGGTTCTTCGCTAGTCTTCTTTTTTCTGTTTTTCTTTTTTTTTTCTTTTCTAATTTTAGTCATTTTCTGCTGAATTATTGTATTCACGCTCTTTTTGCGCGTGTGTACCAATCATTTTAGCCACCTCAGCATTATTTACGCCACATAAGCTAGGTCAATGGTCAAAGGGGTTTAAAATAGTGTGTTTTAATCACTATAAGTGTCTGGATGAAATTTTGTGGAGTATAGGGACCGGCATGACAAAGTGGGACAAGTATATGTGCCATTTAAGCTATTATGCCTAACATAGATAACACCCTAGTCAAGTAACGTCGTTAAATGTTAATCAAATCCAACGGTGAGTAAGCCAGCGGACTTCACAGTAGCCAAGGTAATAATTCCTCATTTTAAGCCTCTTCTTTTCACAGAGCTTGCAAAATTTTACTCCAATTTCTAGAAGCCCAAAAATCCTTTGGCGCCAATTCACCTCTCTTTCTTTCTTTCTTTCCCTCTTCCCTTCTCCCCCTTCCTTCCCAAAAATCGGAAATGCAGCGGCAGAAATCTATACTCTCCTTCCTCAAGAGACCTTCATCGGAGGACCAAAGCTCCGGCAATAACAAACACAAATTTCCAAATCAAAATGCAGTCCCTGTTACCAAAAGTATTCCGGACATTTTGGGAACTGAAACTCCTCCTGAGAAGTTGCCACGTCAGGTTCTCCCCTTCAACAGCGGCCATGATGGAAATAAGTCTTCTGCTTTCTCTTCTATTAGGCACAAGTTTATCAGAGAAAAACCACGCATTCATCGGTATCTCTTAATTTCGAGATGTTCTTATTTTTTTTTATGGAGTTTCATTGCTTACAATTTTCATTATCTTCTCTTTGCTTTATCACTACCTAATTGTAGTTACTGCATGGTCTTATTCATACTTACTATATTGTAAATTGCACTTTATTAGTATAAGCCTTGTCAAAATTACGTTATTACTGCTACTAACTTACTGCTATTCGGAGCTTACATTTGATACTATTATAGTCCATTACCAATCGAGTTTATGTTAAAGGTGGTGTAGCTATGTTCAGTTATTGCTCACTGCTCCCTTGCAATTTTGACGTGCTATGTTACAGTTGAAGGTGTTAGCACTAGTACAAAGTCTTAATTATCCCCTCTCTCTACTTTATTAGATCTACCTTGTGTCGCTCATGGTTTTGTTTCCTACTATTTTGTAAATTGGGTTTCTATTTTTAATTGATATAAGCATCGTCATAATTATGTGAATTTGCTGACGTGGTGTATCCCTATTTGTTAATTTCTTTCTACCTTTGCCATTGAAATAGAGCGTTTACATTTTAAACTATTATGTCCCATTAGCAACCATGTTTATGTTAAAGGTGGTGTGGTTAAGTTTTACTGTTCTATCTTTTTTAGGTGTCGCAATAAGCATGGTGTTAGAGTTTGGTTCTGTTTCTTTTCTTCTTGTGGGTGATCGAATGCTCACTGCTTCCTTACTTAGTTTGATGGCTATTTATTATGTACAGTTGAAATGTTAACCGCCTTTTGGTTATATTGTGTGCACAGAATATTCATACTGTCTTGCGACATGATGTGTGATATTTAACTACTTTGTGATATTGTGTACAGGGATCTAGCAAAGACTGATTCTTTTGGGATCCCCTCTCTTTGTACAGAAAATGAAGGATCAGAAACACTGGGGAATCCTTCTGTTTCCTTGCAGTCAGGCTCTAATAGAAGTTCTGTTAGTTCTAATGGAAATAGTAATCAAGAGGGTAAAGGATCAGTATCTCTTATACAAGGTGATGATCATGGTTTTGGGCCGGAAACACCAAGTATGCAACCTTTTGTACCTGGGTTAAAAAGAGTCCAAGATGACATGCGTACCTCAGGGGATAGGAGTGGTTGCTCTTCATTGGACGCAAGCAAGAGGATTAAGAGTCTTGAGGGTTTGAATATTGGAAGGAAGAACCTCGAAGCAGAGTTTGAAATGACTAGCAAGTTTGAGTGGCTTCATCCATCTCAAATCAAGGATGCGAATGGTAGAATGCCAGGGGACCCACTCTATGACAAGCGAACACTGTTTATTCCTCCTGATGCGTTGAGAAAAATGTCTGCTTCTCAGAAGCAGTATTGGGATGTCAAATGCAAATACATGGACATTCTGCTTTTCTTTAAAGTGGTTAGTTCTACTTTACCATCTTGTATATTCTTCCTTCCAGCCGCTTTGTGTCATCAATTTACTGGAAAAAGTGACTTTGCACCGTAATCGTATGCCAGTTCATTCTTTTTCTTTCTAGTGCAACAAGTTTTTGAGCTATGAGCTTTTGCTTTTAGATAGTGTAACGTGCTGATTGTACTTCATTACATTTAATAAATTAGGCTATTAGACAACTGGAAAGAGTAACGATCCAGATGGATAGGCTTGTGAATATTGAGTAACTGGATTACCTAAAGGCTTCTACATGGAACTTGGAAAATAACCATGTTTTACCTAATAACGTACATTCTTCTGTATCATTATGATAGGATTTGGTAACACTTGTTACATTCCTTGGACTATATCCTTGGAAAAAATTTGAAGTTTTAAATCCATTAGGGAAATTCTATTTCTCATTCGTTTGATATCTTTTGTTCCAGATAATTGTTTGGATAAGTTTTGTTTTAGTTTCAATATTTGCATAAGTATTGTTTCACATGTTTATTTATTTCGGTATCAATTTATTACACAGTGGTATCGCGAATGAGGAAAATGTTTGTAAAATTTTCACAAAACACTCTCCTGTTTGACAAAAACTTCCCTGGTTATGTTTTTTTTTTGCCTTCATTAGTGGTCTTAAGAGTATCCTCTTATTAATTGTGCCATTGGCAAGGACTACCCAAAAATCCATGTCTTAGGTATCATGAATTTGGTAGTGACCACTTGATAATAATCTTTTAAGTTTGTTCTTCATGTAGAATCCATGGAAAGTAAACTTTTTTGAACTATTAGAACACAGAAGCCGTGGTTTTGTTTTTTCATTTTTTTTTTCTAAAGTTTTGATCCAAACTCTAAATCTTTGACTCACTGTATTCTTTGTAGAAGATCCATCTCAATTTACTCTAAGGTTAATTTTCTAACAAGATATTGCTAGATGGTATAGCTTCTAGGATTTTTCTAGGAAATGCAGATTGTTTTCTTGTTCTTTCTCTTGCTGTAATTTTATCCGTTAAGCATTGCTTTGTTTTCTTGGCTTTCAAGTTTCTCGATCTACAATTTTAGGTCTTCTCTTTTTCTGTAGGTTATATATATGTATCATACATTTCTCCAGGTCTCTGTTTACCTAGTAAAAAGAGTGACAGTATGAAATCTTATCGTGGAAAGAGTTCCTAATTTACTAAACTGTTGCCTCTTGCTGTTAGTTATCTGATGCACGTTTCTTTTTCCTCTGCGTTATTTGCTGAAGAAAAGTTACTTTACTAATTTGAAAATCTTTGTTTTCACATATTAAGACTATTAACCATACTACTGACATATCCTGATTTAAACTTTGAATACCATAAAATACCAGGTTTTTGGATAATACACTGCTTAAATAGAAGTTTACAAGGTTTTCAGGGTTGTGCTATTAAGATTGGACAGATAATTTTCTTGCGATGTTGGTTTCTTAAATTTAAAGACATTAATTGCTGAAAATTTATTATTAGATGGTTAGCAACAGTGTTGTGAAGAGCGTGAAGCGAGAAAAAGCGACAATCCCCTTTTCGCTTAAAGCAAGAAGCTAGAAGCGAAGCGCCTGCTTTTTTGAAGTGAAGCGAATTTTTTTTAAAAAAAATATTAAAATAAATAGTGCATAGACAACACATGTAACTGTAAGCAAATGTTTAATACTTCAATGTAAAAACTAAAAACTAAAGAGTAATATCAATTAAAGCACAAAATGAGCATCCTATTCTTCTACAAGATTGTCAAATTCTTGTATTCCACTATCATTATTGTATTGCTTGTCATCTTCTTCAACTTCTTCTTCATCAACTAGGGACAAAGAAAAAATTGGGGAGCATTTCGCTGTAATTTATCACTGAAACAGTGAAAGAAAAAGAAGAAGAAGAACTAAAAGGGGAAAAAAATTTGCCAGCATTTCGCTGCTATTTTGGGACTGAAACAGTGAAAGAAGAAGCGTGCAGAAAATGGAACCCTAGTCGCCTGTTGTTCTCTGTTGAAAAGTGCTGCTCGATGGTCTTTTAAAAAAAGAGAGCTTTTTTAATTTTATAACGTTTTTTTATAAGGTAAATTGTATTCTTAAGATAAAAGACTATTCTTGAGATGTGAAAAAGGAGACTCAATCCCCTTAAAAGCTCCAAACTATCAACATGAGAGCTAACGGGGCGAACTTCCACGCCTTTTGCTTTCTTATTCTACGGAAACCGGCTCAGCTATATAACATTTCCTTTACAGAGCTTGGCATCACCCATTGAACACTAAAAAGATTCAGGATTGCCCTCCACAAACCCGAGGACATAGGGCAATGCAACAAAAGATGATCAACTTCTTCCCCTGAGCTTTTACACATGTAGCACCAACTAACAAGTGTAATCCTCTCTTTCGCAGATTTTTAGCAGTCAAAATCACTCCCCTTGCCGCTAGCCATGCAAAAAAGCACGCCTTCGTGGGCGCCTTAGGAATCCGGATCAAGGAGTATGGAAAAGTGGCATCCTCTGTCACCAACATGCTCTGGTAAAAGGACTTTACGGTGAACAAACCATTGCCATGCAAATTTCATCTCCAAGAGATGGCTGGGGCCTGTCTTGCCCATATAGCAGTGTCAACAAATCTTGGAGCTCCGCAATCTCCCAATCTTGCATGTTCCTTCTAAATGAGAGGTCCCATACTATCCCCCCTTCATGCTCCTTACGAATCTGTTGAACCATCAATTCCTTTTGGTTTGAAACTCTGAAGACGTGGGGGAAGGAGACCCTCAGTGTATCCTCTCCACACCACCTATGATTCCAAAAGCTGATTCTCCTTCCATCTCCCACCCTGTAAGTGATGTTGCCACTGAAGGCTTCCCAATTCTTCATGATGCTCCTCCACATGCCACACCCGAAAGGTGCTTTGATTGCCTTGGTCCTCCAACCCCCTCCTGTGGAATCGTACTTTTCTACTATGACCTCCCTCCATAGAGCATGCTCTTCTACCCCGAATCTCCACATCCACTTCCCCAACCAAGCTCTGTTGAATACCCCAAGATCTTTTACTCCAACTCCACCCCACTTCTTTGGGGAAGTGACTGTCTGCCAATTCACCAGATGAAACTTTCTAGTTCCATCCGCCACATCCTAAAGAAAATTCCTTTGAAGCCGCTCCAGTTTTTCTGTGATGCTCACGGGAGCTTGCAACAAAGACAAGTAATAGGTGGGCATACTCGATAAAGTACTTTTAATAAGCACTTCCTTACCGCCTTTTGACAAGTACCATTTCTGCCAGCCTGCCAATCTTTTTTCAACCCTTTAGATCATTCGATTCCAAACCGTAGTATCCTTATGCGAAGCGCCCAATGGTAGACCCAGGTAAGTAGTGGGAAGTTTTATAACGTTGGCAGCCCTTAATATGTAGAAGCTCTCGCTTCTATCGCTACTGTCGCTTTTACGCTTCTCGCTTTTTTTTTTGCAGAAGCGATCGCTTTATTGAACCTGCTACGCTTCGCATCACAGACGCGCCCAGGGCCTCGCTTCGTGCTCGCTTTTAACAACACTGGTTAGCAATGACCTTTCTATTGATAGGACCTATTGGGAAAAAAAGGCCTCACTATTGATAGCATAAGTAAATACTCCCTCTGTTCCAATTTATGTGAACCTGTTTGACTGGGCACGGAGTTTAAGAAAAAATAAGACTTTTGGAATTTGTAGTCCTAAACAAGTCAAAAAGGGGTCTAGAGTATTTGTGTGGTTGTAAAAGCTTCTCATTAAGGGTAGAATTGGACGTTTAAGCTAAATTGTTTCCATATTTAGAAAGGGGTTATTCTTTTTGGAACAGACCAAATAGGAAATAGGTTCACATAAACTAGAACGGAGGGAGTATTTGTTAGATGTTGTCGATTTTCCAGCCAATAATATGGGAGGATTATTTGTGAAAACCTTTGGGATCCGTCTATTTGTTTGTCGTTGCTGGCTTAGACAATGCATGTTTGAATCGTTCTATACATTTTGCAATTCCTTTTGGAGAAGAACAAGGAATGAAATGAGTATTTGGAATGTAATCTGGATCTACTGCTATTAGTTAAAGGGCAATTTAGGCGAAGATACTTGGACAATAAGTGCTAGGATACCCTATATATGGTTAGATGTGAGGAAAATAAAATATTTGCTTTCATTGAAGTTATGGTTTGTCTTTGTTTGATTTTCAATGCTTCAGTAAATGTATTCTTTTATTTTCTTTCATTTCGAAAAAATCATGCACAAGGCTTCTTATTTGATATAGTTTTCTCTAAAACATTAATGCTTTAAAAGGGAAAATTTTATGAGCTGTATGAGCTAGATGCTGAAATTGGTCACAAGGAGCTCGATTGGAAAATGACACAAAGTGGCGTGGGAAAATGTAGACAGGTATGCTATACATAAGTCACTTGGGATATCTGAAAAGGTAGTTTTGGTAATTTTCGGTCTAGTTTAATCTTCTGAATCTGATCCATAGACTTATTTTCTTGCTTTTCTGTCAGGTTGGCATATCTGAAAGTGGGATAGATGAAGCTGTCCAGAAGCTCCTAGCGCGAGGGTAAGAGTTAGAAGTCTCATTATTTCTTCCTATCTGTCCAAGCCTTGGTGGATAGAGTTACTTGGAGGTAGCATGTACCTCGTGGATATAGTCGAGGTGTGCACAAGCTGGCCGAAACACCATGGTTATAAAAAAAGAGTTAAGAAGTTTCATTTTCCAGATATGTATCTTTTTTCAGGGAAACAGGCTAACTGCTTTTGCTGCTGGCGATTTCCAATTTCTACTTTCTAATGACTGTACGAGTTTATCAGTAATTGGAATTTCTGATTTGCTTCATCTTAATCATTTTTTAACAGTTCATTACTATGTCACCTTTCTCTGCATGGCTTATGACTCATGTTAGTAGCAATTTGCAACTGACCACCTTGTTGGTAATACTTGTTTAGTATCTTATTAGGTATCTTTTCATTTATCTTGAGTTTATCTAACTACTTTGAAGGTATAAAGTAGGACGGATGGAACAGTTGGAAACATCTGAGCAAGCAAAATCTAGAGGCTCTACTTCTGTAAGTGCAGCATGAATTTTGTGAAAGCATGAAGGCATTGACTTAACCTAGTTCTTTAAATACAGTTGTAATGCTTGCTTTCAAGTCGTTGAGTTAACCTAGTTCTTTAAAAACAGTTGTAATGCTTAGGGCTGTGTGAGGTTAGTGATGGTCCTTTAACTGTTCTAAATGTGATAATAAACAACATAAGATACATTAAAGCAATTAATGCTTTGAAAAATTCTGGATACATATATATAGTTTGGTTGAGCATTCATAAATTACCTAGTTCTTAAAAAACATTTGCAGCGCTTAGGGCTATGTGAGGTTAGTGATAGTCATTTAACTGTTATTAAATGTGATAATAAAGCAGCAGAAGATACATAGAAGCAATTAATGCCTCGAAAAATTCTGGATGTATACAATTTTATGAATCTTTTTGTTGGGCACTCATAAATTTCTTCTGCGTCTCTCAAATGAGCACTATCAACTCGTTGTTCATCATGGCATTTAGTGATTTGATGATGAGAATATTGGTTTCAGGTTATTCGCAGAAAACTAGTTCATGTACTCACTCCTTCTACCGGAAGTGAGGGTAATATTGGGCCTGATGCAGTTCATCTTCTTGCAGTTAAGGAGGTTAGCAGCTTTTTATATAAATTGAGGCCATTGGCATGATACAGTTCTGTTAATTCTACATGCCAGTAGAGTTATCTATTATATGTGCAGAATAATGCTTCATGCAATCTTATGCTGCTTCTGTTCTCTCCCCAAATTTTTAAGAAAAAGCTTTAAATTTTTTAATGTCCTTATGGTCATCCTTGTGCTACAAAATGAGACTTCAAACTGAGGCAGAGGATTTATTGGCTTCTTGCACTGTTACATCTAGACTTGCAATGAGCTAGAGAATGGTTCAACCACTTTTGGCTTTGCTTTTGTCGATTGTGCTGCTCTTAAAGTTTGGGTTGGTTCCATAAGTGATGATGCATCTTGTGCAGCTTTGGGGGCTTTGCTGATGCAAGTACGACACTTTAAGATCTAATATCTTTCTTTGAGTAACTTAATAGAAGATCTAGTATCTTTCTTTGAGTAACTTAACAAATATGCGATTCGTTTGCTTGATATTTTATGTTGCTCTCTGTCGCATCTGTAGGTGTCACCGAAGGAAGTTATATACGATGCTAGGGGTAAAGCTTTTTTTAAATTAGACTTTGGAAGGATTATTTTTGTTCTTTGGAAATAACTATGTTGAGTCTGACTTCCTCGTCTCGCACTTCTATTTTAACAGGTTTGTCAAAGGATTCTCAAAAAGCTCTGAAAAAATACTCATTAACAGGTGAAATTTGCTTGTTTCTTAAATTTTTGCTTACTGTATCATGAAATGGCTGTGATTGTGATAATTCTCTCCTGATTATCCAAGGCATTATGTCCTGCCTATCGTGTCACAAAGCTATTTCTTTGTTCGGGCAGTTCAGTGTGAAAGCCTGGATCTTCATATTGTTCCATTTAACTTTTGCCCTGAAAGCCATGTATGGTGGTCTTTATTTGGCCATTATTTATAGTAAGTTGCGACAAATTCCCTAAAGAAGATGAGCTTTGCAAAATATTATAATTCCTAAGTGGTCATTAGTGGGACCCGCAGTATTGTTTATTCCGTAGTTGGAATGAGATTAGTTAGCAGTGAGCAATTTTAATGCTATAACTAAGGTCTCGTATTGCCTATGAGATATGGCCTGGTGGAGAGAAATTGAGAAAGGATAACTTTCTTAGTTTGTTTGAGAGACTGTCCACTTTTGTCAAGTTTTGCCGAGTGATATCATTGTGGGACATGTTGTCCTCTTTTCTAGAATTTATAGAGAAGAATAACATTAGACCTGCCCCCTTTCCTCACACACTGTTTCTTCTGACAGTGATTGTGATATATAGAAGATTAAAGGTTCTTTTCTGTTATCATCAGATTGTGTTTCATGGAAAGAAGATTCACGAGCCCAAAGGAATTGTAACAGATTGTTGTTTCAATCATTTCCACCCAAAATCGTCGAAGATTTAAAGCCAATTGTCACCTTTTTTCTAGAAAATCCATAGACAAGAAATCACACTCTCGTCTTCGTGTACATTTCATTCTCTCGAGCTTATCTGCTCCTAAGTTGAACTAATCTATTCATTCTTCTTTGCAATTTCTTGTTTCTCTTCTTTCTTTAACTTGCACATTTTAGGGGAATTTACTAGCTGAGAGTAGCTCATCATCCAATTTCTCTATCAATAGTTTCAGCTACTTTAAAGTCTTACCCCTTTTGCTTTTCTTGAGATAAATAACAATATTACAAGCCCTGGTAGTGTTCAACAAGAAGAAAAGTTGCTAAGAAGGCCCAAATTGGTCCTTATCTAAAAAAACAAAAGACAAAAGAAGGCCCAATTTGGTACTGTTGTGATAAGGTTTGTATAGTGCATGCAGTATTATTCCAAGCCTCCCCTGTCATAGTTAATACTTAAAATTAAAATACACCACTGTCATGATCACAAATCCATGTCTTCAGTAAGTCGTCTATCTTAGGATGTACATGATTCTTGGACAACATCATTGGCACAAGCAAGTTGCAGCTAGTCTATCTTATGGTTCTCAATGTGCACTAATCTTGAATGTTCATCCATTTCCATCTGATTAAAGCATGTTTTATAATGGGCCCATGTTTTTTTTTTGTTTCATATTAAATATATAAATGTCACAAAGGACATGCATAAAGGGCAGTCACTAGTAGGAGATACAAAGGAGTTTTTCCATAACTGTGGATTTACACCCGGGATCAGCATTGAGCCTCTACTTGTTTAACCTAGTTGTTGATTAGCTAACCAACACAATACAAGATGAGATCCCATGCTATACTATTTGCTAATGATATTGTGCTAATTGACGAAACCAACAAGGGTGTCAACCGAAAGCTTGAACTATAGAGAAGTGAACTAGTGAGTAAGAGTTTTAGGATAAGTAGAAGTAAGACTGAATATATGCGCTGCAAGTTTAGTCAGCACAAGAAGAGTGAAGTTGTAGTGAGATTAGACGGGATTGTGATTCATAAACGTAAACTATTCAGATACTACATTTGTTCTTCCAGCCTCCGGGAGAATTTGAATGATATATGAAGATGTTACACATAGAACCAAAATTGGATGGTTGAAATAGAAATGGATGGAGCTGTCACTTTCTTAGATCTCTTGATGAGTATCCTTTGTCCATTTAGGTCCTGCAGCGCCACTCCTGTCCCCAGTCCAGCCAGGTGCTGATTTTGTTGATCCTGCAGAAGTGAAAAATTTCCTTGACTTGAAAGGTTACTTTAAAAGATATTGTAATAAGTGGGATCACACCTTTGATGGAGTAATGAGCCATGATGTTGCTTTATGTGCTCTTGGGAGTCTTGTCAATCATTTAGAGCGATTGATGGTAAGTCTCCGAACCGTGACCTATCTTCTGTGTGTAATATTTAATGGTTTTATTTTGGTGATTGTTTCATTCTGTCATTAACAGTTAGATGAGGTGTTACGTAATGGCGATATTCTATCATTTGAAGTCTATAGGGGTTGCCTCAAAATGGATGGACAAACACTTGTCAATCTTGAGATCTTCAACAATAATGCTGATGGGAGTCCATCAGGCAAGTACAATATTTTTGTCAAATCAAGCTTTGTACTCATTCTAAGGGCAATTGTGTCAATTATATTTTCTTCTATTCTAACTGTGAGTGATTATCTATTGTTTTCAGGTACTTTATACAAGTATCTTGATAATTGTGTTACTTCACCTGGGAAGCGACTTTTGAGAAACTGGGTTTGTCATCCCCTCAAAGATGTGGAGAAAATCAACCATAGGCTTGATGTGATTGACAGGCTTGTTGAAAATTCAGAGGCTACATTATCCGCTGCTCAATATCTTCGCAAGCTTCCAGATTTGGATAGGTTGCTTGGACGGGTTAAGGCTAGCATTCAATCTTCTGAAGCACTCCTACTGCCCTTGATTGGTGCCAAAATGTTGAAGCAGCGAGTAAGTCCTGTTTGACATCTCAATTTGGTTTGCTTAGTCTTGGTGCAGTTATGTGCCAAAAGATGCTCTCACTACCTGAATTACTAGTTTGTGTGGTTACCACAATAGTTCAATCTGCTTCCAGTAAGAAAGACTAGCCGATATAGTAGCTGAGCATCTATTTCCATTTTCACACCTTTTTTACTTACCAGACGAATAATAGTCTATCTCGTTATTGCGCATCGGATGACATTGTGTGTCATTTTCACACCTTTCCTACTTCCTAGACAAACGAGCAATAGGCAGAATAGTTATTGATTGTTCTATTCAGATGGTAGTTTCCGGTTAAATTTTATTTCAAGGGGTTGTTTGTTACTCTGATGGTTGTTTATTACTCTGATGGTTGTTTGTCCAAGAACTACTATTCTAAATCATCAATCAACAACGCGTTAATTCCAGACTAGCTTAGTCAGCTGTATGGATTCTCTATATTCATTCGCTCTTTTTTTATCCCATTTCATGGCAAAAATAAATAAATCATTTCTTAAGATAAAATTGCGCGTTCCACAAAACTAGAGGTTCTCTAAATCTCCCAGTTATTCTTGCATTGACGCACAAGTCTTTGACTATACTGAAAAGAATCTTGGCAAACACATGACCTAAGTTAACAACAATGATTATCCTTTGTTTATATCGTGTTGAGTTCTTAGCTAAGTCTGCAGTCATTCTGAGAGACTGTAGGTCAACAACAACAACAACAACGAAACCAGTGTAATCCCATAAACGGGGTCTGGGAAGGGTAGTGTGTATGCATACCTTAACCCTACCTTATAAAGATAGTGAGGCTGTTTCCGATAGACCCTCGGCTCTGAGAGACTGTAGGTCCTTTGTGACAATTTTCGTTCATGTGTATTTAGGTCTGCCTCGTCTACATTTACATCTTCAATCATGATAGTGTTGCACCTATAGACTGTCATATTTGGAGGTCATCATGACACAGTCAAACCTCTCATTTTATCCTCTTCATGCTCTACTTACACCCTCTATTAGATATATTCTATTTTTTTATCTTGTCCAATATTGTGTTGACCATGCATTTACTTTAACATTCACACTTCTGTGACACTTTGTACATGTGTTGGACCTTAGAGGCCCAACATTCCCTCCTATATGATATTGTCATCTCATAATTGTAGTATAGTTGTGCTTTTGCTTTATTTGGTATCTTCTTTTCCTGTTCCTGCTGTGCACTTTTACAGCACTCCTTGATTTCAGCTGTTGTAATTTAGATCAATGTGATGTCTCATCTGTCATGCCATTCTCCTGAAAAACTGAGCCTTCATATAATTTGTCTGCATTTGGGCACCACTGTTTCACCCGAATTTTTTCTATAGGGGTAAAAATTGCTGTGTGTGTGTGTGTGTGTGTGTAATCCATTACTTATACTTATTTTAAACCTCTTACTCTCTAGAGGGCTTCAGGTTGAGCTTTTGGCTGACTCCTTGTGTCTCTCACTAGCTTCTTCAATTTAAAACAATATTATGTGCAAATAACACGAAATATGGACCTTCATCCTGTATATTATTTTATTGGTTAGAATCCATAATTAATTTACAACTAGTAGGGGCTCAGCAGGTAACTTCTCTATGTCCTTCCAGTTTTCCCACTCTTCTACCTACTCTTAGTTGCATATCCTTTATGGTATTTATATGTTTGATAGTTTCTTTGTATCCAAGCATCCACCAAATGACTTTTCTTGGCACTTTTCCTGGTTCACTGGATATCCTTCTTCCTCCACCTACAGATTTCCATAGATCTTCTTAGCTAAGGTAGGAGGCAATATTGTTGTTACCTTTAGAAATTCTCAAATTTATTCATTTGCTCCAACTGCTAATTTCTTTGGTCAAGCAGTGCTTTACCTCAAATTATCCAAATCATCTTATGCCCCATTTATTTTCATGCTGGGGGCATATTTTCTTTCCGGACTATTATAATGGAAGTGTTTCCTAAATGACCTTTTGGTACTTGAAACTGGAAAAAGTTCATAATCCTATTAAATGTCCTACCACAGCCTTGGGTGGTAATAGATAATGACAAAATTATCGACTACAGCAAGTGTCTTCATTTTCACTTCTACTTTTTCTTCTTCTTGCTCTACATTCGTAAGCTAATAATGAAGTTGCTCTAACTATTTCTTCTTTGAGCATTACCTGAATTTTTTTTGCAAGTCCAATGATGTAGGTAGGTGTCTAAATGCTTACTTCTCTTTTTAATGTTAGAAATCCAAAAATTCATATGCTTATTTATAACGAATATTTATTTATGTTGGACGTGCTTTTGCACGACTCATTTCATAGTAATTTTGTCCTCCATGAAGAATTTTCTGTTTCAGCCCCTGGGAATGACCTTTCAGCTCTATTGATGTAGTATATAACCTCTGTTTCACTCAAGGTTTTCATCTTGTTACTACAGGTTAAAGTGTTTGGGTTGCTTGTTAAAGGGCTACGGATTGGGCTAGATTTGTTAAGGTTGTTGCAGAAGGAACGTCTGACCTCTTCCCTGGCTAAAGTGGTATCCTTGCCTGTTCTAGATGGTGACGATGGGCTTGATAAATTCCTCAGCCAATTTGAAGTGGCAATCAAGAGTGACTTCCCCAATTTTCAGGTTTGTGATACAAGATTCTTTTGGCTCTTTTCTTGTCAAGATTGTTTTGGACCATTATATTCGACCTCTTTAATATTCAAATTGATGAGAGTGTGCTCATTATTTTTTCATCTATATTTTCATCTTTTTAAAGTATCAGAGGAATCCCCTGCAGGCTTCTGGTCCTACTCTAGTTGGCGTACAGGTTCAACACTCACAGGGAGTATGGGCCGCCCTTACCCTCTTAAAAAAAGAAAAAAGAAAAAAGGAAAAAGAAAAAAGAAAAAAGAGAAGAATGTCCTTGCTAGTTGATTGTCTAATCATGTGTGTTAGAGTCTGGCCATTAATTCAGTCACAGTTTTCCTAAATCTGCATTTTCAAGTTTTTCCGATTGTGCTCGAAGGAGCTGTTACATTGGCAGTCCTTTATTGTTTGGAAAGAATCAGGTGTTTGAGGACTTAGGGAAACATAGTGTAAGATTGACCCTTATATCTGCTTTTACTCAGTAGTTCCCAACTTTATTTCTTATTTTCTATAATCAAATAGTTTGTGCTTGATTTTTAAATCGTTTCTGAATTGGAGACATAGTATGGACTGGTTAGGTTCTCTTTAGGGTGTACATATAACAGTGCTGCTTTGATGTAAACACATCATTTTGGTACTGTAAACAACTGCTTCCTTTCCCCACAGCTGGACACAACCTCTACATCCCCATCCCCCTCCCTTCCCTCCCCCTCCCCTCTTCCAAAAGAGAAAAAAGAAGCAACAAGTTTACCTATCAGTTCATCGATGCAGCTACCTCATTCATCCCTGTGTCATGATCTCGTACTTCAATTTGATGCTTAGCCATAGTTGTATTCATTATAAACCTAATTATACTAACGCTTTCGCCTTTCAGTATGTCCCTTTGTGAACCTTCTGTTTTACTAAACCTCATCTCATCCTGCAGAGGGCTGTGTCAGTAATTCCTTTTTCCTCTGCTGTGCCAGGATCATAATTCTACTGATTTTGATGCTGAAACACTATCCATTTTGATGGAGTTATTTGTTGAGAAGGCTACTGAGTGGTCTCAAGTCATTTATGCCATAAGTTGTGTTGATGTGTTAAGATCATTTTCCATTACTGCAAAATTTTCCTCTGGAGTTATGTGTAGACCAGTGATCTTGCCTCTTTCAAAGCCAACAAATTTCTGTAGAGAGACTGGTGGGCCAATACTAAACATCAAGGGGCTTTGGCATCCATATGCTCTTGCTGAAAGTGGGGGACTGCCTGTTCCTAATGATCTCCATCTTGGAGGGAATACGAATATCTGCCATCCTCGTACTTTACTGTTGACTGGACCAAATATGGGAGGAAAGTCAACTCTTTTACGTGCCACTTGTCTGGCCGTCATAATGGCTCAGGTTCATTCTTCTCTATGTTTGGAAGAGATCATACATTCATTTAGGTGGTACTTGGCTTCTGGAGTTTAAAGATATCAATTTCTCTGCAGTTGGGTTGCTATGTGCCTGGAGAAACATGTGTGCTTTCACTTGTGGACATCATCTTTACACGTCTTGGAGCAACTGATCGAATCATGACTGGTGAAAGTAAGTTTTAATCAAAAGAGCTTATTATTTGAACTATCTTCCACCCCTCTTTACCTTCTTTTTACTATCTATGTAGTCTTTCATTCTTCGGAAGTCTAGACCACTGTCAGAAAGGAATAAAAGTCAGAAAGATAAAAGAGAAGAGGAAAAGGGCAATTTAGTTTGGACCGGAAGAGGCCTATAATTGACATATTTTGGGATATTCAAGTGATAGTCTTCACTGTAGTGACTATGCTTGTGGAATATCTTATTATCATCACAATGATAAAAGAGTGCCTGGACTTTTCTACTTGACATAAGAATAGCACAAATTGAACCATCGTTGTTGATGTTCTTTACAATCATCATCATTATCATAACGAGCACTGAAAATTTTAGCACTTGGACTATATGAATTTGGTTACTTCAGGCTTCAGCTATGATGTAACAGGTGGACTTCTTGTGAGAAATATAGTTCCTGCTTTATCACATTCTTTAGGTATGAGTCGAAGTCCATAGCGGTGGACTTGGCTTGGACAGTAAACTTCTTCACTCTCGGAATAAAGATGAAGTTTAGATCAATGGCAGCAGATATTTGTGGTTTCACAATTTCTGTCCTCTTCTTAGTGCATTACAAAGAAAAATTGACCATGTGTAAAGCTCAAAGCAGAAACATCTATGCCCCACATGCATTTTAAAAATTAATTTTCATTTTCACAGGTAACTTATTTTTACTTTTTACAGGTACCTTCTTTATTGAGTGCGCAGAAACCGCGTCAGTTCTTCAAAATGCTACATGCAATTCCCTTGTTCTTCTGGATGAATTGGGCAGAGGAACAAGCACTTTTGATGGATATGCTATTGCATATGCTGTAAGTTCCCCATTATTTTCTTTTATTGTATGATTGATTAGCTGCATGCAAGAGTTCTGTTTTCTTGATAGACAGATTCTGGGAGTCTTTTTGCATTAGTTTACATGATGCTTGATCTGTCTTTCCCAGTCAACTGGTGTAATGCCATGATAAGTGCCTAAAGTGTAATACACAATTATAGTTTAACAGCTTTCTAGTACAATACATCGAGCTTCGTTGAGTTACTCGGGCAAAGTATTACCTAAAGACGTGGCATGACATACCATATTACTTTATCTGAAATTACTGAAGCATTTTTTTGCCATCTGAATTATCTTTTTATGCGTGTGACCTGTTCCTAAGGTATAATATCACAAGATAAAGAATGGAGCTATTGTAGCTAAGAAATTGAGCAAAACTTGTTGGGGCTCGGCCAATGCCTTTAAGATTACTATGCGTTATTGAAAGGGAATCTTGCTTGTCTTTTGAGTCATTTTGGTCGTGGCATCTTTGGTTTTGTTCCATACATTCAAGCTGTGAGGTGAAGTTTTTGACTTGTTACAAGTTCTGTCCAGGTATTCCGACACCTTATAGAGACGGTGAACTGCCGCTTACTGTTTGCCACGCATTATCATCCACTCACTAAAGAGTTTGCTTCTCATCCTAATGTGACATTACAACACATGGCCTGCTCTTTCAAGTTGAAATCTCAAAGTTCATCTCCAACAGAGCAAGAGCTGGTGTTCCTTTACCGTCTAGCCTCTGGAGCATGCCCAGAGAGCTATGGAATGCAAGTAGCACTCATGGCTGGAATCCCGAAAATTGTTGTTGAATCCGCATCCAATGCAGGGCAAGTCATGAAGAAAATGATCGGAGAAAGTTTTAGGTCATGTGAACAAAGAGCTTGCTTTTCAACACTGCATGAAGAATGGTTCAAGACACTTCTTGGAATCTCAAAGACAGATGGTGAAGTTAACGATGACCTATTTGATACATTGTATTGCTTGTGGCATGAACTAAAGCTGATAGATCCACTAGCTGAAGATGTTAGTCTCTGAGTTATCTTGTATATTCGTGAAACTCTTCAGTGGGAAATGCCGATGAAATTATGATACTAACTGGAAGATAGGAAAGTTATTGTTGAAGTTTGTATTTCTTTTTTTTGGTCAAGAGAAGTTTGTAGTATATTGTCTGTTCTGTAAGAGTAGCAAGGTTAGTAAATTTTTTGTTTTATGGAAAGAGGCAAGAGAAACTGCAATGTTGTAAAATTGTCCTTTACTCCAAGAGAATCTTTGCCGTTATAGTTGCTTCATGAAGAGTTAATATGGAGTGAATAAAATGTTAAGAAATTAATTGAACATAGTCATCCTTCAATTGTTATTGCTTCCAGCACTAGGCAAGTAACAGAGAATAACTGTGCCTTTTGCAACAAAGAGTGAAGAATGAAGTACACAATACAATAAATGCTGAACTTTTATTTTCTATTAGGTCAAATTTTAAAGACCTTTCTTCAGGTTTGGTTTTGTAATACTAACTTTTTTTTGTGGTTTATGATATTACTTTCCTTATTTTGAGTTATTTGTTACAATTTTTTTATACCTATTTATCATTAATATAAACAATGATGATTCATTGAAATACTGGTTGATAAGCTTATTAATGAAGGTGTAAAAGACCTGTTTTTTGATTTAACAGTCCCTTCTCGTCATCAGAACATAACAACCCAAAGAGGCAAAGACCAATAGAGTCCTCTTAGATCATCTAGAGGAATGGAAACTGTGTCGCGATGAGAATTCTAAAAAAGTATATCAGAAAGGAATTTCAAAAACTCTTATGCGATCGTAAAGGAAAGAAAGATGTTTATAAAATTAATTAAACAACATATTACATTTCAAAGGGCAAATTAGTAACATACCAATTTGCTTNTGAAACCAGTAGATGCCATGCCTATAGGCCATCACGTAGGAAAACAAGTATGTAGTTAATTAATTGCACTGGTCTTCGATAAGTTGCAGCCAGGCGAGCCTAATGCGAACTTCTTGCCTGAAAATATGTAATGAACCAGCCTGCCTAATGTTAAGCATAATTTCGACCTAATCAGTACATGTAAGACATGCTAAACTACATGATTTTCTGTGATTGAAGGAGGTTTATCTGAGCCTTAATTGTTTTTTGTGCTCCCATAACTACTTTATGTGTTTTGCTTGACGCCTTAGTATTTTAACCTTTTTTAAACCTCTGAAAAGCCAAGCTTCCTCCCTTTAGGATTAGTAGTCCTAAAAGCCTCCAGGACTGATAGGTGGGACGGGTAATAGCATGCAATAGTAAACGTTTTTACTCTTAGTATATTTCTTTATTATTATTACTTAGGTTCTCACTTCCATTTTAGTAATTAAAAACTTCAAGGTCATTTTAAATCGACCTCTTTAAATTATCCACAAGGATCAAATAGACACTTTAACTTTGCTANGGGAAAGTTCCTAATTTTATTATTGTTGATCTGATTTATCTATATCTATCTATATTATTTTAAAAGCATTAATGTTCCATGATAAATATTAATTTACAAAAATATCCTCACAACAATAACCGACATTTATACCTCTTAGAAATTTAATCATAGTTTCATTTATTGGGTATATAAAATTATAAGTAATATTTAACATACATGTGATACCCACAAGGATTTAAATTCGTCTATAAAGTTAGTTACTACTATTGGAACTCATATAAGACGTGTTCAGTATTATAGTTAAAGAAAATTGTTTCTGTATCGTGCTTCTTTTTTTATTGTGGAGTTCAAGTAAGTAGTGTTGGTTGTTATTAGTTTTGGATTTAAAGTCCTGCATTAACGTATAATGTTTAAGCTTAAATTTTGTACATATAAATCATTGATTAATAAAATTCCGTTGTTTCAAGCATGAACAAGGCTGGAAACTTCTTTAATATTGTTCATTAATTACATAGGTCTATAATTTCTAACTCATCGTACACACCAGATCTCTATATAGATTTTAGTTTGTCTTTTCTTCATTAAAAAATATTAATTACATTCATTAAAAATGATATATTATATTAAGACCAGTTAGAAACGAATAAAATCACTGGTGAAAAAACATTAAAAAGAAGAAAAGAGAAAAATAGTAGTGATCAATTAGTTATATGAGAGTATGAGTGGTATATATCTAGATAAATTAGAACGTCAACATTTTTCACATATTCAAAGGCCAAATTTGTTTCATCCCTCATATCGTAAAAGGACACAATAGGATGCAAGTTCTTATGGTCACCAAGTTTTCTCATATGCGCGAAAGTCTTCGTCCTTGTCCGTTTTTTCATATAAGTAACCGAAAAAATAATAGTGATAGAAAATGAATTAGCTAAAAGTAGCATTTTTAATAATATCGTAAATTGCATGAGATTTTTTTTGGTAACAAGTATATTTGCATATCATATGTTAATTATTAGGCGCGCCTATTGTTATACGTGCGAGGCACGTACATAAAGACTAGTACTATACTAAAAGCACAACGATCCTTAGCGAAATATCGTTTTCCTTTTTTACCCCTTAGAAATAGATTTCACAATCTTTAAAATCAGCTAGAGTTTTTGTTATTAAATCTTTTCTTACTAAACTAGGTAGAAAGTACTAATATTTAGGACATTAAAGTCAATTACAATTTTACCTTATATAGAAAACAATTCGTTCATAACATATTTGCTTATTATATGTTGGCATACAAATTAGGTACAGACATAAAATTGATAAAGCAATTCAAAGTTCCATTCAATATACACGTTTCTTTCAGAATAAATATTTAAACTATTGTATGTATGTGAACTTATATTATTATTATTATTTTGAAAAATATACTTCTGACGAGCACAAGACACACACTTAAATATGCTCGCTAGTCGAAGATGATCAACGGTTGTGATTTATACGATTAAGAACTAAAATTAACTAAAAGTCTAAAGTTATTGACTAGTGACAATTGTAATAATGAGTAAGCAAAGAAGGTTATCAGTGGGAGAAGATAGGGTTTTGATGGAATAGGTGCAATATAATTGTTTGAGATCTAACTCTAGATAATTAACTTCTAATGCTCAAGTGAGTCTCTCGAATTCACTCAATTATTAGCTCAAGCGTTCAGCAGAAACTCCTCTCTCGATTAAGTCTCAACCTCACAAGATGAACCAATTTAAGCTCGGTGAAGATATGCAAGAATGCGTAGTGGATTGGTCTTTAGGAGAACCTCTCTCAATTATCCTCCTAACTAGGTTTATTCAATGATTCAACTAGCCTCTTTCGATTACTAAGAAGAATTAATGAACTCAACCAACAATATAATGCAAGGATATCACAAGTTATGCCTCTCTCAATTACATCAACAAGTGAATATAGATGCAACAATTAAATCATCCAAAATGATTCAATACATAAAACTAGAGTTATAATCCACTGATCAATACACCAAATCCATCAAACCCTAAAGAGAACTACTCCATAGCTATGGAGCAATTCATCACAAATAGAGTTAAAGTATAGGAAAACATAAAACGATCCAAATTCAGGTCTTGGGTGAGTTATGAATGATGAATTCCTTGTGCTCGCGTTCTTCCAACTCCTCCTTAGCCTCCTTAGGTCTAAAATATGTCAAAAGTCCATAAAATAACATTTTTCCATGTATTTATACCTAGTAGGGTCACGCCCAGACGAAACCACCTTCTCCTAGCCGAAATAGGATAATTGCTCTGGAAAAATTACATAGGCACGTTGCATGGGGCGACGCGCCATGCGGGGCAGCAGTGGAGATCTTTAGAGGATTGACAGTGTTGCAACAGGCAGCTTTCCTACTGCCGCGATGCCCCACGCGCCGCTCCACGCGCCGCGACTGTAGGGTTTTCTCAGAGTACGACTTTTTGCTTGCGTTTTGACGTCCAGACTTGGTCCTCGACCCCCGAACACGATCCCGACTTAATCCCTTGGGCTTTTACTCAGACTTCAAAGCTCCAAATAGCTCGAATTAGCTTAACAATATCTACATAGCTCGGAATCACTCCTACAAGGCACAAAACACACAATAAGTGCAGAACACTACCAATTAACGCTCAACACAAGTAAAGTGCCGTGAATTAGGGTGCAATTAGCGACTAAAATACGTAATTACAGCCTACCATCAACCCCCCACACTTAAACCATTGCTCGTCCACGAGCAATCAAACTACACTTCACATAGAAACGACCTTTTTAAACAACTCTCCTAACTCATCACACCAAGAATATTTAAAATAGATTAAGCACAATACCGTAACATCTTCGCCTCAAGATTTGACTCAAAAGCACCACATATTTTTCATAACGGCTCACTTACTCGAACACAGAGGTCAAACATTACCTTTCCTTCGTGAATCAAGTGCCCTCACACAACAATAGAGAGTAGTTCCACACACAATAAAATTTAAGAACAATTAGGAACTAAAGATAGAAAGAATTCGCTCGCTCTCAGAAACAACGTTCATGTGCCACAAAAGACGTACCACAGGGTTGCCCATAGTGTACTACTCTACTAACTGAGCTCATTCAGCCAAGGATCAATTAGGACTTTATTTGGTTGTAATGTAGGCTGCGAGATAGGTAGGATACATTTGGATATAAGAGTGACTACACCTCCCTAAGCAGTTTAATACATATACTTAACCTTTCAAAACCCCACACTTATGTCAAACCATAACTCCACCCTTAAATCAACATACATCAACTCCCAACTTCTTTAAGCACAACTAAATCAAGAGTTACCACTATCACGGAATATTTCTCACAATCATACGATTATTGTTTCTTCTTTCCTTTTCAATTCAAGTGGCTCTTACTTTTTCAAAAAAGTGCAACTTTCTCCTTATTTCATTAGTTCCACTCAAAAGTCAAACTATCACCCCACACTTTAACTTTTACAATGTTCATAAAACATTCAAGTGCTCACGAGAAGTAAAAGGTTCAAATAGATGGTCAATTCAAACAAATGGGTAAGGCTTGCGATGTGGTTGCCAAAGAAACATGATTACATGCTCAAAGGGTTAACTAAGATACATCAAAATTTGGTGGGTACAATCATATAACTGGCTCAACAAAGAAACGCCTATATCACTTCTAAGACTGAGAAAAACTACTATTTTGCTTTGCAAACACACGGGGTAAGTTCTATACATCAAATGCAACGCAATGAATAATACAAAACCTCACATACACATGGCACATAACTCACTCAGGATCGGACTCATCAAGACACTCTAGTCAAAGCAGTTAAG